TTGTGTCTTTATTTTCAACTGTGACTTATAACTGTTATTCACGATTACGAATCCAGAGCTTAAATGAATAAAATTAATAAAATTTAACCACATTGACGAAAAAATGTTACATTTTACCAAAGCTCTGTTGCACTGAAAAGCTCACAATTTTCAAACTACGTGAGTTTTTCATTTATTTTTTTCATTATAGTTTTAATCAATAGTATTAATCAATACTATGACCCCATTTTGGTTTGACGTTGATTTCTGGAATACTTTGTATATATAAGGTATTAAAATGTTTTGTGAATGTCAGAATTATTTATTTGTTTATGCGTTTATACATATTTTATACACGTACATACGAGGTCTGTTCAAAAAGTACCCGGAATTTTCTTTTTTCAAAAAATATTTATTTATTCGTCTACATTAATGTGGTCCCCTTCAAAGTAGTCCCCCCCAGATATAATACACTTATGCCAGCGTTTTTTCCAATTTTCGAAGCACCTTGATATTCACTTTTTGATATGTCCTTGAGCACTCTCAGCGATTTTCTTCAATCGAGGAAAACCGCCGTCCTTTCATGGGTCTCTTCAACTTTGGGAATAGGAAAAAGTCACACGGAGCCATATCTGGTGAATTTTTGCACTTTGCAACACTTTATTTCATTTTTACGCAAAATTTAATACAATTCTTTGACTTTTCAATTCTTCCATTGTAAAAATCGCCGAGCTCAGAAAAAACACGTCGAACCTTAGCGACTACCACAGACAAGTAAACAGTGAATATAGCTGAAAATTTCATCATACTTTAGGGGCATGTTACCAACACAATAAAAAAAAATTTGACAATCAGACACTCCAGACCCGCGAAATTTAATTATTAGTAATTCCGGGCACTTTTTGAACACACCTCGTATGTCTAAATATGTACAATTTCACAAATATTTTCATAAATAGAAAATCTAAGCTGACAGATTTTTTCATTTTTTCTTTGGCTCGTGCTCAAAAAATCTTTCCCGTATTAAAACTTTCTCTTAAATACATTTCTCTTGGCAGTACGAAAAATGATTGAAATTATTTAAGTGGAAGGGTAGAAGTGGGATTCACTTGTTCTCGGACCTATATCCATCCCTCGTGCGGGGTGTTTTGGATGCATGACAGTATGGATGATTAACTGTGTGAGCCACGTGATCTACGTCCCTCGGGGTTGGTGTGAACCTCATATTGAAAAATACAAATAGGCCCGATTACACGCGCTTATCCGCAAGAGAGCGAGGATACGCTCTGACTTATATTATTTTTGCTTATAACTGCGACTGGCATTATTTATTCATTTATTAATTCATCAGGCTTCTACTCGGGCGTTCTGCCTTTTCTGTTTTGCTTGTTGCGTGTCGTTTGTCGTATGTCGTATGCGCCTTTGTTTGTTTGTTTTGCCTTCTTGCTGATGATGCTGACAAAGATTTGTCTGAATTTGTCAAGAGGCAATTGTAATTAAGAGAGTAATCGACTAGGTTGAATTCTATCCATGCGCGAATTTAATGAAAATCATTGAAATATAGGTCATGTCACATTCCTTATAGAACTTATTTAAGATTTTTGTATTGTCAACAATGGGCAAAAGAATCCGATATTAATTTGTTTTATTTTCATATTTCTAGAAATCGCTCAAAGAAAAAATATCAAACATGTTTTCGATGATGTAAATTGATTTCGAGAATGAAATTTTTTATTAGTATAAAATATAGGTCATACAACTTTGGGGGCGTCCAATAATCACGTGAGATTTTTAGGGGCAGTGGGGGAGTGAGGGGTACAGTAAGATATTACGTGTATTTATTTTTTACCTGATTTAAAAAAAAAAAAAAATCGTAAAATTTCCTCGTAAATAAAAATACACGTGATCTTAAGATTTCGACATTTTACAATGGGTGAATGAATCTAATATTTATTAACTTCCCGAAAGAGAAGTTTATGTTTTCATAAAAAAATCCGATTCGCTAATTTTATGTTTTTTCGACGCTTCAAGGCATTCTGAATCGAATGAGACCAAATTTGGATAAAGTATGTGTGTGTGTGCGTGTATGTGAACAGATTTTTTGCCGTAAATCGACGTTTTCTCAAAAACGGCTGGACCGATTTCATAAATTTAAAAGCCATTCGATATATCTCGATGAGGACTATTGTTTGTCGGTTTTGTGCGACGATCGGCCAAACCGTGTCTTTATAAAACGTAGAAAAGTGAAAAATTTTTCGTCTACGTTTTAGCCCGCAATTCTGAATCGATTCTGAAACTTCAAAAACCGTTCGAAAGATATTGGTTGGGAATCGTGCTGATTAGTTTTTGGTAGAGTTCGGCCGGGCTGTTTTCTTGTAATAAAGTTTGAAAAAAAAATTCTACGATTTTTATGATTATTTTTTTGACGGTAGATACCACAGTCTTCTAGATCATACTAAAATATTATGGCCCTACGACAACTCGTTTAGCTTTAAAAATTCGTCAAAGTTTGCAAAAATTAGTATGGTCTTTTTGGCATTTCAAAATTAGAACTTTCATCGACGTTTGCTCAAAAACGTCTGAACCGATTTCAGAAATTTAAAAACCATTTGATGTAGCTCGATGAGGATTATCGTTTCTCGACGATCGGCCGAGCCGTTTCTTTAACTACTCATAAATTAATTTATCTATCATGGATTAAGTCGATTATTTACACAAATCGGGAAGTTCATGTAACTTGCCTCAAGGCAAAATACGAATACCAACTAGTTTTTATTGGTTTTATTTTCATATTTAGAAAACAATTTGAATGAAAATTATCATGAAAATATTTTTACACAGATACTCGTAGCGATAGGTTAACCCTTTGTGATAATAGATAAAACAGGTGATAGTGAATAAAATCAGTATGAGTGAATTTGTATGGAATGTGGTATTGTTGAGTCGCAAGTAGTATGATAGAGCCTTCGACATTGCAAAAAGGTATTATTGCAGAATTTAATCCATAATCCTTTGGATATTACAAGTCTGTTAAAGGTGGATAGACAAATATATAAAATAATGGTACTAGCATACCTCCTAATCATATAATTTTTTCATATTGCTGATATTAAATATTATCACTAAAGTAGGAGCGAATTTGGTTGGGATGTGGAATGTTTTCTGGTAATTTCATTATTCAATCCACACTCTTTTAAAAGAGGCAAGTGAGTTAAAGATAAAATAATGTCAACAGCGTGTTTAGAGTTTTTAATTACAATTCCCCATATGTTTTATTACCCAGTACCAGTAAATGCTCGATGTCTTACGATAAGGGAATCGGCAACTTGCCCTCTCTGGGCTCAGTTCTTAGATTCCAGAACGCCGACGCGCCTGAGTGTTTTTGATTGATGAGCGTCGTGAAGTAAACAGAAAACTTCATATTTTCGCGCTGACACGACCCCCAAAAACTCGAAGCTATAAATAATTCAGAGTTAATCTAAAAACACTTAGATTGTTTTCATATTAATGTACGCAGGCCATCCCATAGAAACCATTTTATATATTGTGCTGTCTATTAGAAGTGATGCGGCTATTTGAGAAACTCGAGATGAATTTATTGCTGTTTGGTACCAATGCACTGTGGAAACTTTAGAAATCTCAAGGAATTGAGATTGTATTCCTTTATAATAGACACCAAAGATTTATTAAATTTTACAATAATTTCGATTGCTACTTATAATGTTATTAAATCATGGGGAATGCGTTCTCAATGTTTGAAATGCGCGATTTAGTGAATTATTTTTGGCCAGTGCTCGGTGCCATGGCATTTTGCACTGTTGTCCATTTTGATCATGGATCTTTGTCATCCCACTTTTATAAATTTTCTGGTTTTTATTAGCGCAAAAACGGAATCAGGTACAATTTGACACCATCACAATCATTGAATTGTTTGCTAATGAAGGAGTTTTGTTATCATCGAAACAAAAAGTAATCAGAAGGTGCAAAGTCAGGACTGTATGGTGTATATGGTAAAAATGTCTACCCAAGTTCCAATAACTTTTGCCTAATAGCCAAAGATATGTGATGCCTATAATAAAATAATTCACTGTTTTGTTTTGATTGCGTTGTTTAATTTCCTTAGTTCATCAAGGTATACATCAGAATTGATCGTTCGGTTGGGTAGTAAGATTAAAAGTCTACAATTGTTTTGTAACCAAATTCAACTGGGCGACCAGAGCGTTTTTATCTTTGAGTGAAAAATCACCAGAACGAAATTTAGTCAACTTTTTTTTCTTTACGGCGTTTTTTAAGGCTTTGACACCATAAACAGCTCATAATTTTTGTGTCATTTTTTCCCTTTTCGAGTCGAATTCATGCAGAAATTATCATCTCATCATCTGAATTCTCTCGTTTATTATCCGCTATGATCGTAATAGTGAAATATTTGTAATCTTAATACAGTAATCACAATCAGATTGCATCAAGCGATAACGTCGGGTCAATTGATATTTTATCGTGTGTTGGAAACAAGATACTTGCGCGGGGCAAACCTTCCCACAAACGCGCTTTGCTGCTGCGAAGCAATGTCAAACTGTGCAGCTGAAAATAATAGAATCTTTAATAAAAGATAATATTTATTATTATTAGGTATATTGCAACAAACGCATTGTAACATTTTTTTATGCATACACTTATGCTTTGTTCCAAATAACGTGAATCAAAAGATTTTGGATACGAACACCAACAAATTTAAATTTAAATAGAGTGAAATACCTTTTATATATAAATGCATGTAATTTGATGTATTGTATATAGTTTTATACAAACCAATGCAATGTAAATGAAAAAAATATCATTAGCTCAACAAAAGACATTTACATATATGTATATACTAATAAAGTGTTACTGGTACTGAAGCATAGCTCTGTACGAATCAGAGACATGGACTATAAGAAGGGCAGACTAAAACTTCCTAGAAAGTTTTGAAATGTGGTGCTGGAGACGAATGGAGAAAATAAAGTGGACAGATAAAATAACAAATGCAGGAGGAGAAGGATGGGAAAAGTAAGAATTCCACTGAGCACGATCCTGAAGAGAAAAGGCAACTGGATTGGACCCATTCTGCAAAACGTGCTTTCTACACGATCTCGTTAAAGGTAAAATTAAAGGATTTAAGGACCAGGAAGAAGAAGAATGCGTATGATTGATGACCTACGCGAATAGAGAAAATACAGGGAACTAAAAGATGAAACACAGAACCAGAAAGCATGTAAGCAAAAGTTTAGAAAGGAAAACGTTAAATGAATGTAATAGCAATAATAAACAAGGGAGGGAAAAATGAATTATTGATATTGTGGCGCTGGCACACCATGGACCTGCCTTCGGACAAACTACCATTTATTATTATTATATATGCAATTACTGATTATTGCTATAAGGTCGATAGCAATTGGTGTTTATTTATTCAATCAAAAGTATACAAAATTAAGTTTTTAAGTACATTTATTTTTATTAAAATATGTTACTGGACATAATGCATCTAATGTTGCAATTTTACATATTTATCACTAGTGTTGCATTATTACAGTTTTAAATATTTCTATTCAAGATAAGTTATATTTATATTATATCTTTTTCCAACATCAAAGGGTTGTTTAGTCCCGACAGTTTCGCAAGCGCTCTCTCTATCGATAGGAAGATTCGTATCATAATTGTTATGAGACTATTGTATTACGCTCACTTTTACAGTCATTGAAATTACTTTCGCAAACGAGGGGTAGGTAATTGAAAAATGATATAAGGCCTGTTGAACTGATAATCTCATCATACAACGAATAGAAAAATACGAACTAGTGAAAGATTTTGTTATTCCCATGAATTGCTG